AACACGCGGTTCTGGCAGTGCTGCACCAGCTCCGAGAAGAGCAGCGCGAAGGCGCTCAGGCTCACCTCCGTGCGCGGCCGCACCAGCGCGCGCTCCAGCAGCGCCGACTTCCCGCGCGTGAAGCGCGCCTCCATGCCGCCGCCGCGCTGCGGGGACACCGGAAGGCGGGGTCAGAGCCCGGGTCCCGACCCGGCCTGGAGGGGTCCTGAGCCACCACCGTGCGCTCCAGCTCTGACTTGCGTGTGGGGAGGGCTAGGGGGAGAAACAGGACACCCGGGGGCCGGCCTAAAACGCTCCCCCATCTGGCTTAGACAGGGACAGGCAGGCGCGGGTACAGGAGGTGAGGTGGGAGGTAGGCACGAGGAGAGATAAGAGGAGACTAGAAGGGGGCGCAAAGAGCCACCCCAAGCCTCCGCTCTGCAAACTACGCGTTCCAGAAAAAGCCTCTGCGGCCCTCCGCCACCTGTGGGTGTAACTAGAAAACTAGTGCACCGGGTGTGGGTTGGGGACATCAGACCTAGGGCAAGGGGCGGACACAGGCAATCACCCCCCAACACACACACACACACACACACCAGCACTAACCTCAGGTACTTTCCTGCCCCCTCCCCTGCGGAAAACCAGAGTAAAGGGGGAGGGGGTGCGTCACGACAAAGCCCAGGAAGGTTGGGGTCTCGGGCAACAGGTGAAATCCGTCGTGCAAGCCAGGAGGTGGCGCGGGGGGACTCCCAACCCCACACGCTCGAGGGCAGATCTGTCGCGCAGGCAGCCTGCCGTTGAGCGGCGGATGGGCCTGGGTTCTGAAGACCGGAGAGAGACGGGCCCGGAGAAGGCGTTGGGACCCTCCCAGCTCTGCGCACCAGCAGGGTGGAGGGACGCGAGAGGAAGGGGGCGCTGTCCGAACACGGGTTTGGGGAACCCAGGACCCTCCCACCCTAGCTCCTGGAGCCAGGAGTCGGGGAAAGAGCGAGCTGGGGAAGACGGCAGCTGGGCCGGCCCGAGGGGGTGCGGACGCCCCCACCTCCGGGGTGAAGCCGCCCAGGGTGGGACAGAGAGGTGCTGAGAACCCCGGCCCCGCCGTGCAGGACTGGAGGGGTGTAGGGACGGGGGCCGCCCCCACCGAGGCCTCCGTCGGGCTATGGAGGCGGGGGGGGGGGCCAGAGGGGAAGAAGGCGTCCTCCAGCTCCGGGGCGCCCCCGCTCGGGCGTGCAGAGGGGAGGCGGGAGGGGGCGTGCTGAGACCCTGCCCGGGCTGCCAGGAGGGCGGGTGAGCCGCGCCGCCAAATGCTGGGGCCCGGAGACCCCCG